CAATTCACCAACTTCTTCATCATATTTTACTGTTAGATGGTCTAACTCTTCCAACTTCTTCTCTATCCTCATATGTATTTGATAATTTCTATAATTCTGAGAATATCTTTTGCAGACTTAACGTTTCTTTCTGCTGTTGAAATTCTGCCATTATCTCCAGCTAACAAACACTGCTGCTCTAGCTTAGAAGGTTTTAACAAGCTTAAACATAGATTCACAATAAATACAATTCTCTGGAACATTGCCCCCACAAAAGGTGAGGTGGGGCTTTTACTCTCCTGGCCTTTCAAAACACTGCAGCCTTGCTTAAAGCTCACAGAGGAACACACAGATGATTAATTCCCTGAACATTGTCCTCCCACCTGTTAATCCACATTTAACATTGATTTCTTAATCATACTTGTCATTTTTGTCCATTTTATATACTACCCAGAGTCCTCCTGAGGGAGATGGTAATTTCAAAATTTGATAAATAAAAATAAATTTAGAAAAATCACCAAGGAATTAAGTTTTTCAACACGTAAAGAATGGTAACGTTCTTTCAGTTATACTCACTACATTACATTTGCTCAATGTTCTTACTTTACTTAAGAGCAATTCTTACCAAGAGATTTTCACCAGCAATTCCTCGATAGTTAAAAACCACACACCTTTAAAAGACAAACAAAGAGCACTGTTTACCAGAACTGTTCATTTGAGTATTCTTGGAAGTGAAGAGCCACATATCTGAAAGCTGTTTCAATTTTTTTTTTATTTGCCAAAAGATTCAAAACAAGGAATAAAAACATGAATTTTCCACAGATGTACGTTTTCTGTATCTGTCATTTTTTTTCTGTAGCCCATAATAAATCATCTGTAGCTATATAGATAAGAACAGGAAGAAGGCTGAGAATATGGATCCGTAGGAAGGGAATAGCTGACTTCCTCATTAACATGTTTCCCTCTGGTGCACATGCTGCAGCCAATTTTGATGAAGGTGATGAGGTACTTTCAACTCTCACTGAAAAATGCAGTGTTTATGTTGTAGTGTAATACCTACAGCGGACTAAGGGTGGCAAGTGTCTCTTTATTAACAAAAGATCAATTCCATGGTGCAAGTGGGCTTCAGGCTGAGAAGAGTAACAGTCTTTGCACCCAGAATGCCATGTCTCATCAGTTTGTCCTTCTCTTTTTAATTTGCCCGCTGTTGTTAATTTCTCTCTCTCTCTGCCTTTCTGTATGTCTGAACCCCAAACAATCACAATGTTTTTGTATGGGAGCAATCCAGTTGCTGTTTGCAGCAGACTATAATCTTTAAGTCTCTTGAAAACACTGCTAGGGAACAAAGTTGGAATCACCCTCACAGGCAAAAGCCAAGCAGGTCCTTAAGAAAGATGAAGGGATGAGCGTTTTAGGCCAGGAGGTAGAAGGGAAGAGGGAAGAGTGGAGTTTGGATGACCAGCCCAAACCACGATTGTAGGCAATGAGGGTTTGGATGGAGACAATACATGAAAAGATCTTGCAAACCTATAGCTATTTTGCTGGGAAGGGTGGGGGCAGGAAGGAGGAATTAGAAGTATGGTAAGAAGCTGGCTGATAAGCAGAATGAGGGTGAAAGGCCCCAAAAGTCATTTGTTTATAGAGAGAGGAAATGTAGAATAAGAATAAAGTACACTGAAGAAATACATGGACTTGTAGTGAGATTTATAAGATGAGAATTCAACTGCAGAAAAATCTGGGATTTGACTCTGGGCTGATACGCTTTGAAGATCCCCTGCACTCAGCTCTAAATAACATTGCAGATGGGTTCCTGCAAAATGGCTTGAAGGAAGGAAAAACTTCACAAGATGAAGCTTATTGACGTGACAAAATGATCTGGAAATAAAACAGCAGTTTCAATTTAGTTCCTGAACATTTTGTTACCAGTCTTGGTAACATTATCAGCAGGACTTTCTTGTCCTATTCCAACTGATCACACTGGCACACAAGATTTATAAGCTAAAGAGGAATAGGACAAGACAAGCCTGCTGATTGTGTTACCTAGTCTGATAACGAAACATTCAGAAACTAAATTGAAACAATCTTTGGAGAGCAAATCACTGCCAAAGTCTAAAGCCCAAGCTACAAGTATTTTCTATTATTTCATAAAACAGCAGTAGCCAACACTCAGTACAAACTGACTTAGGACAATGACCCTATCAGTTTGATCCTGCCTTTAGCGAACATGGGCCTGTGTTAGCCTTTGGTTCGACTAGCTCAGCTGAAAACCCTACAAGTTGTACACTATACACAGCTGAATCAGTTTATGAGTGGATTTGAAAACCACGCCTGTCCAAGGCACACACAAAGCAGCCACCATGCTACCATGTCAGGAGACAATTTGCCTGTAGTTGGCTTCCACCTACTATTCTATTGGGGGAGCCTCCATTTTTCCAGAGCCCAATGCTGTTGGGCTGGGCCTGACTGATTCTTGGGAAAGTCACACTGAGACAGGGAAAATCTATTTTATCAAAAGTCTCCTGCCGGAGCATATTTCTAAAAAAGTATCTTGCCAGTTAAAACAGACATGACATTCCTTCACAAACATGCAAGTAATCCATGCTTTGAACTGGGATGATGGAACACAAGCAGCTTTCCATGCAGAGGAATGGGAGCAAACTACAGGGGTGAAGTTCCATTAGAACTTTTTAAGGACTGTAAGCACCACAAAAAAGCACAGTTGGCTACTTTACATGCATGTTACTTTTTGTTTTGTTTTTGAATGAGTCCTATTATATCTGTCCTGTCAGAATAAATATTGGAGGAGGGGTCTAACATTAGAGCTCTAAGATTTGGGTTGAAAAAAAATCAACATAATTACTAGATGAGAGTATTAACATTTTCATTGTCCAGGTACAGTAGCCCTAAACAAAGAGACACAAAACTGTTTTCTCATCCAACATCATGTATGATGGGAAGCTACCATGTTCTGCAACTAATCTCAGTTGATACAGTTTGGTTGATCAGGATTGCTGATTAGGTTTGCTTTTTTTATATCCTCAGGATTCATACTTCAGAGAAGTTATGGGAATTGCTTCTAAGGAGGCTACACATGTAGCATCTTT